GCAGGTCTCTCCCATCCTTAATTGACTAATCATAAACACGTCTGCCATGGGATCCCTGGCCTGTGTGTGTGTGTGTGTGTGTGTGTGTGTTAGTGCGCTCTGCTCCAGCGCAAAGGCCCACGTGGGACAATTTTTTTTATATATGTTAATTGGTCGCTACTTCGAGGATTTTCGTTTATCGCGGGTGGTTTTGGTCCCCATTACCCGAGATAAATGAGGGATTACTGTAATTACTAAAAACAATAGAGTTCATCAGTTTGAAGGTTGGACATGGTTGGGAAATCATTGTAATCTGTTTTTATTGATTCCTGATTGGAATTGCGTTTTTCTATTCTGTTTGCTGAAAGGCAACGGGTGAGTAGCCTACACAGGTTTATTCTGTCTTCTATCTCATGGAAGACCATTTGACTGTTTTCCCTCTTACTATACATTCCAGGTAAGACATATTTGTAATTGATAAAGCATTGTCAAACAAATTTGGTAAAATTAGGTAATTTCCCCCGCTACGGCCTCATTGATGCTCCTTGCGCACACTTTCCAACCACAAGAGATGATTAACCTCATGCATTCTAGTATTGCACCACAGTTTGAATGTTTAGGTCGGACTCCCTGGACTTGCTGTCCAAGATCCTCAAACTCGACTCTCACTCTTCCCGCACCACAGCCCTGCTTGATGACTTCTCCTTATCTGCCCCAAAATATTTTCAAAAACGTAATCCTCATGATCATATCTCTACAAATGTGCCCCCCCAACCCCAAATAATAATTTTGCTGAATTGGAAATCCTAAATAAAAGTATCACTACAACATTGGTACAACCTGTTAACTGAACATTCAAATTTGGAAAAAATGTTTATTTATAATAAAAGATAATATCACCCATGACATCAACAGGTCCATGTTCATGCATTACTATTGTCAAGAGGAGTGTTCATCCTTAAAAAAAATTTTTTTTCATATCTCTCCAAAACTAATTCCACACCCTATATGCCTGTTCAAATATCAATCAGCACAACTCCATCTACCATGCTTTTTTGCCTTAGTTTATTGGTTACTTCTATAATTGGCCCTTGTTGCATACTGTTCTGTACTCACTTTCCTTTTTTTTTACCACTATTGTGAAAACAAATATATGTCTTCCCTTTGTTGGTTTCAAACTGTTGGCGAGTGTTGCAGAGTCATTTGCTTTGTACCCAGCTGTGTGCATTTGTATAAGATACGATGACACTGCATACAGATATAGTTATGAACCTCATTAAAGTGATCATGTACTCACCTGAATGCTTGCAAGGCTAAAATGTAACTCTCTATGCAACACAAATAAATGCCATTGAGATGCTTACTTACCTTTTTGTGTGATTCAGCTTTTCCTTCCTCTTACTGACTGTTTCTACCACAGAAAACGTGATGTGGAATTTGACCCTCAGTGCACATTGGAATGTTTATGAGCAACAAAAAGCTAGTGTTAGCACTGTAAACATATTGATTGTAATTCTCTACAGGCATGATGATGAATGAACTATTCAGGGCAATGTGCGAGAGCATCGATGTTGCTCATCTATTGCCAGTCAAGAATAATAATGCATTTTTTAAAGGCCCGTTTCTTGGTACTCAACGACACTATAAAATGTGTTTTATTACCTTCAATAAAACAACATTAAAAAGTGGAAATGAAAGAAAGAAAGAAAAATGGCACATTTTAATTTAAATTAACAGCAGAATGGGGAAGGGCAAAAAGACATTATGTTAAGTAGAGTCAGTTTTGAGTCTTTGCTTCTGAGTTGAGGTGGTAGTGAGTTCCAGAGCCTGGGAGGACAGAAGCTGAAAGCAAATGTTAGGGTTGTGCATCTCTCCACAAAAAGATGATTTGATACAATTTTTGATGTGTGGGGTTGTTAGAGGAATCTATGAGCAAAATTGTATCATGTTTAAAGTTTCATTTAATTTGGGCACATCTAAACGTTTGGGTGCGTATCCAGCACCTCCAAATGCCTGTGCACAAAGGCGCCGGCCACCTGGCCGGAGGGCTGTTGAAGTCCACAATTAGCACGTCAATGCAGGTGGGCAATCACAGGGGAGGGGGCGAAACTCGGTCACAAAAGGGGAATGAATAATTTGGGAACAGCGGTTGAACAACAAAAGACGAGTTGAGAACACCCGTCGCGCCCAGGCGACATTTGTCGTCCGCAAAGTCTGCAACATGTTGATACAGTGTAGACCAGACAGAAAGGCGCCAATGTACCGTGGTTCAAAGCTTAAACTCAGGTAACCAATCATTACCGAGGGGCCGGACCGGGGGTGCGGTATGCAAATGTCGGGGGCAGTGTTTTCCTTGTATGTTACAATAAAAGTCGGAATTGGCGGGAAGGGAGCTCGAGAGTGTGATCATCAGAGCAACTACCGTCATTCGCTCTCAGAGATCCCCTCCCACCGATATTGAAGACAATTTTCCTGTGTGCCGAGTCATTTCTTTAACTTTGTCCGAGAAAATCTCTGACAGGGGTGCAAAAACGATTCAAGCACAATTTCATTTGAAAGTGCAAAAAAATCAATTCAGTTCGACTCAGTGGGATTACGATTCATTTCAATATGGTCTTGCTCAATTCGAGGGTATGATGCAATGACGTTTTAAGTGTCATTTTCTATACATTTTTCTGAATTTGTCAGTACAGTAATGTAAATGCACCATTTATTTCTCAGACATCTCTCCAATCAAAAAACAATTCGATATGTATTTTACTAGATTTCAAAGTGTAGTAATTTGAATTAGTTCGATTTGATGTACTTCTGTCTTTTAAATCAAAAATTATTTTATGATTCAAATTGGGTTTTTTTTTTGTTACACCCAGATAGCTGGGATGCCAAGTGTGACTCTTATCTTTTGATGCTACTGTGGTGCAGATGAAAGATGAATAGTAACAAGCAGATATTTTATATATAAATCAGGGGTAAACTGGAGCCTATCTCAGCTCAGTTTGGGTGCTTTGTGCACCCCACAGTGGTCACCAGAAAAACACAGTTGAATAAGACAAGATAAGTAACGATAGCTAAATGTTCAAATTATTTTTGCAGTTTTCTGCAAAAATAATTTTTAAATGATTCAACGTATACAGTATGACTCAATGAGCACACTAAACATTAAACACTAGACAAAACCGCTTGAAGTTTTACATTTGATACTCAACTAAAGTGAAAAAAATTGACGCACGACGGTAGTACATGTATGCTCTTTGTGATCACGAGAACCACTTGTGTTCGTAGCCTACAATGAATAACAATACCAGTGACATTTTTTGTCACAATACCGACTTCGACTATGCACTACGACTAGGGACTTGAAATTTGACTAGTGAACGTGTTTCACGTTCCAGTAGTGGTGCACAACGTCAACTACTGCACCGTTTTGTGAGAAAATAATGTATAAATAATTTATAAAAATATTTGGAAATATCAAATAAAATGCAGGAGGCCATTTATTGAGTCTACACAAATGTCTGACGGGGACAAAGCACCGCCGAGCCAAAGTGTAGCGCCATCCCTGACTAGTGCGCCCTAGTCGAGATACATTGACTGGTAAAAATTGCTTGATTCCTTCTGTATAGTGTAGATATTACGCAAATGGCAGTAAATAATTGTGAAAGCTCAGAATCAGGCTTCACAGGGTTAATTTTTTGCTGGGTGGAGCTCTTATCAGGGAGCCAATAGGAGGTGTTCATTTCTGGCACTGTCCTGCCTCCTGATTAGCATTTAGCGTAACTAGTGTGACCAGTGAGCCATTAGGGTTTCACATGTTGTACTAGTGAACATTTTGCTGTCACTAGTTAACTAGTTAAATCAAAAGACCATTTAACTAGTTGACTAGTGAGTACGGTGACATCCACTAGTTCCACTAGTGCGACATTTTGACTTCACTAGTTCGACTAGTGAAGTCAAAATGTCGCACTAGTGGAACTACAGTAGGGGATATTTGGGACATTACTGGTGAGCAAGTAACGTTTTTGGACTCACTAGTTAGATATCAAGGCTTTAATGGTCTTAAACTAGTGCACTAGTCAATGTTTTATCCTCCACTAGTTAACGAGTGGATATTTCAGCTCCCACTAGTTAACTAGTGCAGGAAATCATAGGCCACTAGTTAACATGTTAGAACAATCCACGTTTCACTAGTTACCATGTTAACACTTTTTAAATCTTACTAGTAAACTAGTAGGACTTTGAACCTCACTAGTTTGGTCCAGTGGGCCACTAGGGCATAAAAAAAGCTGACTAGCTGGGAAGTTCCCTCTGCTTGTGTGCTTCCAGGTGTCACTAGTTAGAATTTTGTTGGCACTAGTTGGACAAAACTGGCACTGGTTGCCACAAATGAGTGGCTAGTTAAGACTTTCGTGCAACTAGTTCGACAAAGTGGTTGCCACAAATGAGTGGCTAGTGAGGATTTCTGTGCAACTAGTTCGAGAAAGTGCGTCACTAGTGTGGCTGAGTGTCGAACTAGTGCTGAAAAAGATCGAACTAGTGTAACACACTCATGTCTGATATCAGGGATTTGGCTTGCCATAGGTTGGTGACGACAAATATGGCACCATTTGGACAATACAGGGCAGTATAGGGAGATATCGAATAAATGCTAAAATGGGTTTCCATAGTGGAATTCCAAGACTCTACTCTTTTAACACTCAAACGGTTAATTGATATATTTGAACGTAAAGACACAATGACAGGAAGTCTGATGATGACTATTTTCCTGGCTGTAATGAACTGTTTTTGTTTTTCAACACCTATTTTTACAACCTGTACTGCTCCACCCTTGTGACGTCATTAAATTGAGATACAGTATCTCATCTGTGAAGTGTCGCGTGCGACTCGCTCACCAGCACTGCGCGAGCACGAGCACCAACTGAGGCTTCCTCTGTGCTGTACACTACCAGAGACCAGGAAGTGAAAGTATACGCGTGGAGGGTGTGTCTTTCGCTTCCTGGCTATGTTTTATTTTCAATAACACAGTCCTGCTTGGATAATCGAATGGGCGACTCGGCGAGGACCAAGCGGCGGGAGCAGCTAAAGCGCTGGGCCGGTTCCTGTACCGACAAAGCGTCGGCCTTGCCCCGGCGGAGATGGCGAGGCGATGCCTTGGAAAGAGGAAGCGAGGAGCCGGAGGCCGACCTGCAGGACCCGCCGACCGAGCAGCCCATTTTAAGGGGCGATGAAAGCAGCCCACTTCTCAAAAGACGGTGAGTAAACTTCTTTGGGGAACAGTTGAACACAAATTGTCAGCTAGCTGCTCTGCTTGCTAGCTTCGCTCCAAGAACCCAAAGTGAAGAATGGGAAGAGGACCTGTGTGGGTGGACTACAAATGGACTACATCAAGTTGCCTTTTAGCTTTATTACTATACAGTACCCCGTGCATTAAAGCCATTTACGGTCAAAGTGACGGGCATGGCAATTCGGAAGGCCCTTGATATTTGTCCGAGCTGTTGGTGATGGGTACACTGAAGCGTTGCTCCACATTTGGCAAAATGAACAGAACGGTGTCGGCACCGTGTTGTGTTGCTGTTGCTCACCGGACACCTGCTGGAATTTACACATCATTGCGTTGCAGCCAACTCACGCACATTATTTAGATATGTTTCTATTGTATGTTTCCTTCATCCAGTTTTAAAATGTCTTTGAAATATGCAATAGATAGTTAACATGTGTCATAATGTGAAAATCGGAGTGAAAGTGTTGCTCATAGTTTTAAAAAAATATATTTTTACTGATGCGTTTTTATTAAAACAAAAACATTTCAGTGTTTTGACAGTCAGCCAATTCTTTTTTGTCAAAACCAATTTCTCTAGTTTTGGAAAAGACTTTTCCACAATTATTGAAGAGTCGGGTGTGCCTAAAAACAATGGAGACAGCCAAAGGTGGTTCATATGTTTACATTAAATATTAAGGAATTAAATATACTAATAGGGTGCCCCGGTGATCCAGTGGTTGGCACGTCGACCTCACAGTGCAGAGGTACCGTGTTCAATTCCAGCTCCGGCCTCCCTGTGTGGACTTTGCATGTTCTCCCCCGGCCTGCGTGGGTTTTCTCTGGGTACTCCGGTTTCCTCCCACATTCCAAAAACATGCATGGCAGGGTGATTGAACACTCTTAAATTGTCCCGAGGTGTGAGTGTGATTGCAGATGGTTGTTTGTCTCTGTGTGCCCTGTGATTGGCTGACAACCGGTTCAGGGTGTCCCTCGCCTACTGCCCGAAGACAACTAGGGTAGGCTCCAGTCGACACCTCAGTGACAGTATTGATGAGCGATATAGCTGCTGAATCGGTGAAGTGATTTTGACAATTTTATTTTTCTTCCAAGCGATATACCCACTAACGCAAGGCTTCACTCTTACACATGCGCTGATGCATCAATGTAGCGGATCCATCACTCTAAGCTACCTACTATCTAATACTTTTCTGAGAGTTTGCTTGTGACAACTATCATTATACTGCATACAACTTCTCCATTCCCGCATAATATGCAGTCCACTTTTGTTTTTGAGCAGTCTCGAGCAAGACATTTCCCCGAAACAAATGAGATTCACAGAGAGAGAGGGGGGTGACCAATACAAATATAAAGATAAGAAATACACCACACCATAACATGCTGTTTCGGTCTGGGCAATACAATAAGGTGCCTATTCCCCAAACACATTTTTTTTTTAATCCCCTCTCTTGCTTAGGCGTAGAAAAAATAGTAGTGTGTTTCCGGTAACCCGACCGACCGAGAATTTCTACGTCGAAAAAAAACTTTACGGTCGGCATTTTTTTCAAACAACCCTCTACATCAGGGGCCCCCAACCTTTTTTGCCCCACGGACCGGTTTATGTCAGACAATATTTTCAGGGACCGGCATTTAAGGTGTGGCGGAAATAATACAACAAAATAATATAGTATGAGCTGCATGAAAATGGTGGCGTTTTCGAAATGTAATAATAAACACAAGGAGCGTCTAATCTGGCCGCAACACTCCGATTGCGATGGCAATGTTTAATGTCTTGAAAATACGATACAACGCAAATTCAAAGTGCATGAAAATGACGACTCACCATGGCACCGAGCTTGATTTTCTGCAACCAGACGGTCCCATCTCGGGGTAATAGGAGACAATGACACCTCAAGTGTGTGGTTTATGTCCAGTCTACTTCGTAATTTTGTTTTCGTCGCCGTTGCTGCAGAAACCCCCCGCCTCACACAGGTAGGATGTCGGAAATAGCAACAGTGCTATTGTGGCGATCTCAGAGTATTCGGCCATAACTTTAATCCAGTTGTCTCGAACGTACTTTTAAGACCGCTGTCATTTGCGATCTCCAGCAGTTTTTTTTAACTCATTTTGCGAGCTCCTGCGTTTTGTTTTAAAGTACTGTAATCGGTCACGTGAGGGAGAAGCGTGGCTTGATGTGTGTCAAGCGTGACACAGACAGATGTAATGGAGAATCCGGTAGTTTTTCAAAATAAAACATCTTTCGTATTCCGAAATAAATAAAACGGAATTAAGGCAAGTTCTTTCTGTGCGGCCCGGTACCAAATGCCCGGCGGACCGGTACCGGTCCGCGGACTGGCGGTTGGGGACCCCTGCTCTACATTCTTGTGTACATCGGTGCAAACTCTCGCGATATTCACATTGAGCGCGTGCGTCGTTTGCCCTGTCGTATGTCAACAACATTGAAACATGGCGGCGGCCGCGATCTCCGACGACAGTTTAAACCGCGTTTTCTGTGTTACAGTCGCATGCTCGCACCGTAATGTTAAGAAAATAGCATCCATTGATGTATCGAAAAAAATTCAGCGAACTATTTTATGAACACCATGGGCCGAGTATAAATCACGTGAAAATAGCACAGTGTCAATGTGCCAACGGGGAATTCTTTACAGTCACTGATGTTCACCGACAATTGCTAACCTGCACTATGTCAGCAAAGACAGCTAGAACCACTGTCGAATGTGCAGAGTGCAGAAAGCCTCAAGTCATGGATAGTAGAAGTAAATTATCTGGACGTCAACAAATACAGTTGGTATTGATGATCAGCGAGTCTGATTACACGTGTGGATCTGCAGTCACTTCACCTGATCATGCGCTGGCAAAAGTGGTCTGCATAAATACTGCCATCAACTGTTCAGTGCCAATTGAGATACCATATTACAGTTCCAAATTGTGGAAGATGGATATTTGCAGCAATTGTGGAAATGGAGATGCAGAAACTAATCCTGACCTAACCAAACGTTACAAAACTGTGTTACCATTACGTAGGGACTGTGTTAAAATGAGAATTGTGCCTGTTTGCCAGTGACCTTTTGGCAAGGTGGCAAAGCTGAAATAATTCTACTTGTTACCAGCAAGTTGTCTCGTGTGCCAAAGCGATACTAACAGGATTTGAGTTCTGAAACAGAATGTTTTATGTTTTATGGTTATTTTGTTTAAATTTTTGATGAAAAAAAAAAGATTAAAAAAAAAACAAAAAACTTTGTCCTACCTACCGACCCTATGCTTAAATTTCATGTGACCTGAAACACACTACCTTTTTTGTTTGGCCGAAGATAAAGTACAGTTTATCAAGTAATACAAACCTTTGTCTGAGACCAATAAAAAAAATGTGATTTTGAACATTTAAAGTACAGTACAGGACTGCCCGGTGGTTGACTGGCTCGCGCGTCGGCCTCACAGTGCAGAGGTGCCGGGTTCGGTTCCGGCTCCGGCCTTCCTGTGTGGAGTTTGCATGTTCTCCCCGTGCCTGCGTGGGTTTTCTCTGGGTACTCCGGTTTCCTCCCACATTCCAAAAGCATGTGTGGCAGGCTGATTGAACACTCTAAATTGTCCCCAGGTGTGAGTGTGATTGCGGATTGTTGTTCATGTCTATGTGCTCTACGATTGGCTGGCAACTAGTTCAGGGTGTCCCCCAGCCACTGCCCTAAGTTAGCCAGGATAGGCTCCAGCACGGCCCGCAACCCTCATGAGGATAAGGCGTACAAAAAAAAGTAGTGTGTTTCCGGTAACCCGACCGACCGGGAATTTCTACGTCGAAAAAAAACTTTATACGGTCGGCATTTTTTTTCAAACAACCCTCTCCATTTTTGTGTAGAGGGTTTACGTCGGTGCAAACTCTCGCGATATTCACATTGAGCGCGTGCGTCGTTTGCCCTGTCGTCTGTCAACAACGTTGAAACATGGCGGCGGCCGCGATATCCGACGACAGTTTAAACCGCGTTTTCTGTGTTACAGTTGCATGCTCGCACCGTAATGTTAAGAAAATAGCATCCATTGATGTATCAAAAAAATTCAGCGAACTATTTGATGAACACCACGGGCCGAGTAAAAACCGA